AATTCGTGATTCAAAAAAAAAAAAGTACTAAAAAATATAATTAATAATGGATTTAAATATTTTTATTTGCCTCTCCATTCTCATGTTATGTTCACTTGATCAAATGATATGTCAAATGAACAACATTGATTGATTGAAAATGAAGATATATAGTCCGTCTATTTAAAATACTTACAAATAAATAGATTGTAAATTGTCTCTATTCATTTTACTTGAGTTTAGATAGAGGTGGTAATCGAGCCGGGCCGCTCAAGCTCGTCAAAACCCCAGCCGAGCAGGCTGGCTCGGCTCGTTTTTTGACGAGCGGCTCGTGAGTTTTTTTTAAAAAAAAAATTTAAGGTTTAAAATAGGTATAGTTTTTAAAAAAAAAAAAATTTAATCGAGCTCGCGAGTTGAAGCTCGGCTCGGCTCAGCCTACGAGTAACGAGTCAGCTCGTTACAAACGAGCACGAGCACGTACTGGCTCGGCTCAGCCCAATGCCACCGCTAAGTTTAGATACTATGTTCTTAGTATGACTACCATCAATTATACTATTGCAATGTATGAATTATCTTGTCCTTATTCGAAACACGACTTCAATTTGAGATTAGATATATCTATATATATTTTTGACTTGTGACCAATTTTACGAGTAGTTCATAGCCTGACTTTAGTCCTCAGTAATAGAAAATTGTGATTGTGTTGGATGATTCTTAAAACGACTTGGACCCAATTCAACCCGATCTACAACATACAATTCTAGACCTAATAGGCCACTCATTGGATTGATATTTCATGTCAACTAGTGTGTGACTTATCATTCAAATAAATTTTAATCAGTCTCCCTAGTAAATTCGTTATCATACCAGTCAGTCTTTATACATTATTTCCAGTTTTCCAACTTTTCCATTGACATAACATTTCAAGGTCTGTGCTTATTGTCAGATATCAAGAGAGAGAGAGAGAGCATTTATTACTGTTATTTTGTTTCATACATATATGAAAACTGAGCGATTTTGTGGGCAACGGTTTTGGAGTTGAATCAACCTTGTTTGTCATTTTCCAATCTATGTAATGTAGGCTTCTTCTGTCAGTACCATTCAGAAAATAACTAGAAAAACAGTAAAAATCTAAGAATTTAACTTTAATTTTTTTTAACCATATGTCAATTAAAAAAAAGGACAATGAGCTCGATCTCAACGTTGGCACCAAAGTCCAAATGATCAATTCTACGATTATTTGTTTAGTTAAAAAAAGTTTTAGAAGAAGCTGATCTAAATAGATTTTTTTAAGAAATACTTCCACCAAAAGAAGGCTCTAAGGGACGATAGAGGTGAAAGTGAAACCTAATGCCGCGTAGTTCCATAATGCTACGTCTTCTTTTTACCATATTAGCCCTCACTTTTCTCGTGATTCGTTTAATATCCTCTTCCGCTCCATGCTCAAAATTAAATTGGTTCATACGTAATTATAATCATGTACCCCATCCAACTCCATCCCACGCCGCCACTCACACGCTTTTACTCCAAAGAAACGATTTTGAATTATAGAATAGGGTAGAATTGAATAAATATATTGTTTTAGAAATAATAATGACATCCCAACTAATTTTACTATGTTTACAATAATCAAAAAATCAAAATTTTTTTCTTAATATATTTATTAAGGTTGTATAAACCGATCATTTTCTATTAATATGCATAAAATTCATTTTATTGTGCTTGTAGAAAGCGTCAATAAAGATGAATGTTTCAAGCGGAAGAAGAATGTGTGTCATTATGCTAGATGTTTTTTTACGGACAACTTACTACACGTGTCATATATTGTTCCAAATGGACTACATAAAATCTAATTTAACGAAAGTAGCATGAGAATCTGTCTTTACTAGGTAGGGGATTTTCAGAAAAAAAAAATTGAGTTCGAAAGAATTGAACAACAATCCTTTGAGGCCAAAAGAATTTTTCATTAATAAGTAATTTACTTATTTAGCTAGAAGTTGATTTTTTGAGAAGTGGGTTTTTTTTTTTTATATAATGTTAAAAAGTGTAATTAAAAAATAAAAAATAGAAAACAAATTCTTATTACATTCTTGAAGAGCACAAATTCAAACCTCCACGACAAGAGCACTAGTAACCGACACGTTTCACGACTTACCCCGTGGACTGTAACCTGCAGGTACAAAAATAAATAAATAAATAAAATCCTCAAAATTTGTACTTAACTTTTGGAGTCTCAAATTTCATTTCATTGCATTAATAAAAGGGAAAATTGCAGCTACGGTACCAAATTTTTTATTTAATAGCAGACTTTGATCAAACATTTTATTTGTATCACTCACGGTATCAAACATTTCAAAATGTAGCAGCCGAAGTCCAAATAGATGGAACCATCTATTTGACCGTTAGTTGATCGAACCAGTAAAAATTGATCAAATGTAATAAGAGCAAAATAGTAAGTTTACAATTTTACAAATCCACCCAACCAAATCTACCTTCCTCTTTTTCTGCTATTTTCTTTGTTGGAGGAAGAGAAAACGTTAAGAGGGGCGGAAGCTAGAGCAGAGCCACTCGAGGATGGACCGACGTCGTCGTATTGGAAGGGCCATTCGTGCACCACTAATTTTCAGAACAATGCGAATTGCTTCAGGTTTGGACGTGATTTGGAGCAATAATTCTATCACTAATATGGTCCCTTGATTTTCTGGACTGCAAGTTTCTTCATGTTCTTCAGCTAATAGGTTGAAAATTCTAGAGGCGTTTGTGGTTGTGCCAATTTCTTCAGCTTTTATGATCCCTTGATTTTCTGGATTGCAAGTTTCTTCATGTTCTTTGGAAGAATTTTAGTTTCATATTCT